AGTTCTACAATTGGACACACACAGTGGTGGTATTCAGCCATATGCCAAAAATCAGCAAGAATTGAAATACTAAAACGGGCAAGAGATGATGGATAGAAATAGAATACCTACTAATATAAAATGTATGCTGTTAAGATTTAGAATAGAGGTAGAAATTAGCAAGGGAGGAATATTATTATGCCTATTTCTATATAGTATTCTAAAATCAGTCTGGTTCCCCCATCATAGAGTCTCCTCCTAGCATGGTGTCCTTTTTCCTCTGCCAACCGGAAGTCCAATTCCCCTACCAGAGAGTCCCCTAGCATTGTGTCCCTTTTTCTTCTACCTGTCCTAACTGAAAGCCTTATCAACTGTGGAGCTGACCGGCAACAGGGAGGCACAGCAGAGGGATGAAAGAGCCACATGCAGCTCCAGAGCTGTGGGTTGCCGACCCCTGCTCTAAAGAAAATTCAAGACTTTACTCAGTTCGGGAGGATTTCTCCAGGGATCCCTTTTTCTTTGAAAGGATTTGGAAAAAGAAACAATCTTTCTTTCAAACTGATAGAGGGAAGAGTAGGACTTCCTGTAGGGCATTTACAAAACCTATTTCACTCCCAGCAACCAAGAGCAAAACTGTTCTGTGCTTCCATGATTAGTAGGGGAAAGCAGAATGCATTAATCTTTGTTTTTCTTATTTGTTCTCCAGGAAAAAAAGAAACATGCGGAGGGAAAAGCAGCTGTAAGTAGGTTGGAAAGATGCTACATTGGCAAATGACATACAAGAGTATCTCTATCATTACGTAAAGGGAGACAACCATCTTAGCTAGGAAGGAGGAGAAAGGTGGCAGGTCTTTTGAGGTTCTTATCCACTACACCACCCTTTTCCTACTTCATTCTCTGTTGGGAATACGAGTCTCCAAAATACAACCTGGCATGCATTATTTATAGAGTAAGGTTCTACATTAGGCAAGAAAAATGAAATGCACAGGTACAGTATAGGTGGTACCTTGCTCAATAGTAGTAACTATGAGAGGGATCTTGGAGTCCTAGTGGATAAGCATTTCAATATGAGCCAGTTGTCTGCTGCAGCTGCCAAAAAAGCCAACACAGTTCTAGGCTGCATAAACAGAGGGATAGAATTAAGATCACATGAAGTGTTAATACCACTTTATAAGGCCTTGGTAAGACACTTGGAATATGGCATTCAATTTTGGTAACCACAATGTAGAAAAGATGTGGAGATTCTAGAAAGAGTGCAGAGAAGAGCAACAAAGATGATTAGGGGACTGGAGGCTAAAACATATGAAGAACAGTTGCAGGAACTGGGTATGACTAGTTTA